GTTAAAGAGGACATCGACATGTTTGTTTACTTCAAAGCCAAATGATTTCTCTAATCTGGGCATTAACAGCCTGATTGTAAGATGGAAAAGCATAATCGATAAGAATGGAGACTATGTCATTTAATAAATGTTTTGTTTTGATAGATAAGTTGTTCGGGTTTTTTCATCTAAAAAAAAAGCGGCATCAGTTTCTTGATGACCTAATATAAATATAACTATGATTTAATTTTCGTATTTATTACAAGCGTTGTAAATCTGTTTTGTGAAATATGATTCGAGATTCATTTGTTTATTGAAATTATGTTTTATCTGTTGGACAAATGCGATATGATCTAAAATGTCTCCATAAAAACGTCATGAACTGATGAAAACAAATCTTAAATATTAAACTGAAAGAATAGGATATTAAGTATGTGAACATTCTCTCTTATTAAAACAAATTACATACACTGCAAGTACGTGTTTATTTGTTAATTTCACTATATGAATATGAACAGAAATGCGTATTAACGAGAAAACAGAAATGAAATAATTTTTCATTATTTCCAAACAATAAGCAAGAGAACTAAGGTTTTGTTATTCTGACTTTTAATACATATTTCGACAGTCGACAAGTGATTTGTGGTCTGTTACGTCATTGCTAGTTTTTGATATTTGATAGATTCATGTGATCCCCCTTATGTTAATCCATGGATGGCCTGGTTCCGTTGTCGAGTTCTACAAGATAATACCACTTCTTACTACACCGACCGAGAACAGAGACTTCGTGTTCGAAGTAATTTGTCCCTCAATACCAGGATATGGTTTTTCCGAAGCTCCTCATCAACCAGGTGAAGTTTTATCATTATCTAGAATGTAACTTAGAAATTAATTATTTTGTGTAAGCCTACTTATTATTGGTATTATCAATTAAACTATATAACATGCAAAAGTAATAGGGCCAAATTTTTAAAGTCAGCAACGAATAACGTAACAGGGAATATCCAGGGAAATGCCACAATTTGAGGATTCTAGGACCATCTTCTAGATTTAACAAATGAATCAAAAACTAGGAATTATGATAAAAATAATCACATAGTAAATTAATAGAAAAAAAGGAGAATTTGAGGGAAAAAATTACCAGTGGGACCAATTACCAATTTCATCGAATATTTAAACACTTTTATAAACTACTTATGCACCACATTTCATGATTTGCATTTTGAATTTTGCGCGTAGCTGCTCGAGGGCTAGTTCCGCTAGTCGTCCTTAATTTAGCAGTGATAGGCTAGAGGGACGGAAGCTAGCCAACACTACCCACCACCAACTCTTGGGCTATTCTTTTACCAACGAATTGTGGGATCGATCGCAACATTATAACGCCCTCACGGCTGAAAGAGCGAGCATGTTTCGTGACGGGGACTCAAACCCCCAAATTGCGAGTCGAGCGCCCTAATCATTAGGCCATGCCAAGCCACAAACATCAAATATCTAACGAAAAGTGTCATCAATATTGCATTTAATCCCGTTTCTTACTACTGAAGTCCACGCGGCTCTCGAAATTCGTAATTTTATAGTTATACGTTTTATATGTAGGATTTAATTATGTGCAAACTATTAATACAATTGGCACGTTAGTGTGTAGACAAGAACAATACTACCCAACCCGAGTCTGAATACGGACGCTTGCCGTAATCAAGCAAAACATTGAGAATGAAATTTGTTTGATTTGCATGATGGCTCCAGAATTAAAATTCTTTGAAAACAGATTTCGTGACTTCTTAATTAATGAGTAGCTTTAGTATTATGCTATAAACCTTAAAATCTGCCTGTGGCTAGAGAATTCATTTTATTGCTTTAATTACGAGGACAGTGTTTCAAGTAGAGACTATTTTTAGGATTGTTTGTTTGTTTGTTTGAAGTTAAGCACAAAGCTACACAATGGGCTATCTGTGCTCTGCCCACCACGGGTATCGAAACCCGGTTTCTAGCGCCATGCCACTGGGGGACATTTCTAGGATACACAAATATAGTGTTATATTTACCATGACACTGATTTTCCTTGAGAGAAAGAATATACGCGTAAAACTGATGAATCGTTTATGGACAGTAAGTTCTGACTATGAAGTCTAGGTTGTTCTTTAGTAATTGTTGTTATTCAGTCAGCTGAGGGCCCCGGCATGGCCAGGTGGTTAGGGCGCTCGACTCACAATTTGCGGGTAGCGGGTTCGAATCCCCGTCCCACCAAACATGCTCGCCCTTTCAGTTGTGGGGGCGTTATAATATGACGGTCAATCCCATTATTCGTTGGTAAAAGAGTAGCCCAAGAGTTGCCGGTGATGACTAGCTGCCTTCCCTCTAGTCTTACACTGCTAAATTACGGACGGCTAGCACAGATAGTCCTCGTGTAGCTTTGCGCGAAATAAAAAAACAACAACAAACAGTCAGGTGATTTTTAGTAACTATCTGAAATAGGTATTGAAACAGTGAATAAAATGGGTATAAGATATAAATATTATGGGATTACTAATCCTCTATTGTATGAAAATGAACTGCACTGTAGTCGAGTTCATTAAAATGTTGATAGTGTATAGTGTAATTAGGTGTCATTTAACCAATTGTGATTGGCTATCAAGTAACCAATCGGATAATGCCACAGCAGCATAATGTATATAAAAGTACAGGTATAGTAATAGTGTAGTGAATGCACTCATTTGCTCTAGCCCCCCTCCCCCCAGTGGCATAGTGGTATGTCTGCGGATATCCCCTAGATAGCTCTTTGTGTAAGCTCTGTACTTAATAACAAACAACATTTGCTCAAAGACAGATATGTCTCGTGACAAATGTGTAGAAATCAAAGTTTTAGTTGATGAATTCATGCGTTGAATTGAGGCGAAATTACAGTTTCAGTAGGAGCTACAAGGAAACTCTGAAGAAGTTACGTGAAACTAGAAGTGTTGACAATAAAAACGGCAGAAGTAGAAAGTCCAAACTCTTCAAAAGTGATGTTAAGTAACTCTTTACGTGACACACAACAATCCCACAGAGATGTTGCTTATAGCCTAATTATAAGAACAAGTGTGAAGCAACCAAACAATCTGGTTGAATTGTAGGGCGTAATTTAGGACATATTGGACAGTATTTCAGGATTACACTTTTATAGTAACATAAAAACAGGTTGTAGTGTTTTTTTAAAAAAATCAAATACAATACAATAGTGCATTGCACAATTTATTTCCTTTTATTTTGTATCTTCTGTAATAATGTATTGTTCTAATTGACCATTCCGTTGCCAGTTTTTATTACTTGTGACTCCTGTGTATTACCTGCGTGTTTCTGTAATTATTTCCAATACTGTACATTAGAAGATAGAGAACATATTGGAGGACACTCTGTAATCCAAACTGTTACAATTGGTTCCTTCTTTGTAAATCTACAAAGGCATAGAAAACTCCTCTCAACGACAAAATGATAACATTCCAATCAGGTATAGGGTCCCACTGTTTGTTTTTACTAGAATTATGGAAATGTCTTTACAAGCCATGATAAATGCATCGTACCTTCGAGCATAAGAAAAGTGTTATATTTTGAAGTATTAATGTATATTATAACCAGCAGAGAATATCTTAATATAAAGTTTTTCCTTTTTTTTCTTGCTATATGTAGGCTTCTCCGTGGCTGATGCTGGACGTGTGTTTGTCAAGTTGATGGCTAGGTTGAATTTCCATAAGTTTTACTTACAAGGTGGAGATTGGGGAAGTGCAATATCCATGGTTATATCATCTGTATACCCAGAGAAGTAAAGTATAGATTTATATGTCTATTTTATTTCAATTTATAAATCTTACCTTCGTCTATCTATCTTGAAAACTACTAAATCTTGCAGTTTAAATACTCTTCAGGCCTTGAACTTATTTATCAAATAAGTTCAAATTAGGATATAACCAAAATGTTCTTACTTAAATGCTAGAAAATAAAAATGATCGAAAATGGTTCAATTTAAACTCAGAATATATGAAGTGTTTCTTTAACTACCAGAATTAGGAATGGTGCTTCAACCACTAGAATTAACTATTTATGACTAGGCTTAATCATGGAATTCTAATTACCCTTTCTCCTATAGAAAATTTACAGTTAATGCGATTTCTAATCAGTTAAGCTATTAATATGAAGTCATCTTCAGTTTACTGTGCTTACTGTATGTTTGTAGCGATCAGATGTCAATCGCTGCAATGGTCACTAACAAACTTTTATTTAGCTACTACTAATTACTGTCAATAGATAATAATTGACTCGTACCTTACGTTTCGGCTGCCTATTTGGTGCCGTCTTTTAGGAAAGTTCGAGAAAGAAGGCTTTTAGGGTGTTAGTGGTTGAGATTCGATCTTCTTGCATGTTAGAAGGGCTGGAGGGTTATCCACTAGTCCACGGATTTCTCCGTTAGAACTTAACCCGATTAACTATTTGAATGGTTTCAGTAATAATAATGATAATGAAGTAATAAGTAATTTATTTGTTTCTAAGCACAAAACTACACAATGGGCTATTTGCGCTATGCCCACCGTAGGGGTCAAACAATGTTTCAAGTGTTATAAGCGCTAGCCCCAGCGACTCAGTAGTAAGTCTGAGGCTTATAATGCTGAAAAAACAAAATATAAGCGCTCAATCTCATCGTTAACCACCTGGGAGGAATTAGCAATTAGTTTTAGGTGATAGTATAAAGTATAGTATATAGTTCATTGACAAAAAAACTTTGGAACGAAACCTCTTTGTGCCCAATGTGATATTTCATTCTTCCTAATCCTGGTATAGAATTCGACCTTTAGTTAAAGGTAATGTTGATGTTGTGTTTTACCTGTTAGACAACACTGCAATTCAAATAGAACTATTTGTAGAAATGATCTCTTCAAGTTATCTTCCTGATGGTTGATCACAACTTATCATGTTAACTCTCCCCATCCGCCTCTGTAATTTATTGTCAGATAAAAAATTGACCCAACATGGAAGGAAATAGCTTACATAGAACATATTTTAACCAGGAAAATAGAACTTTTTCTCTGAACCTCGGTTAACAAGGATAATGAGACTTATTGTCAGAATCTTCATTAACTGGAAATATGGAACCTATTGCCCAGATCTTGATTAACTAGGAAGATAGGACTTACTGCCTAATCTCGGCTAACCAAGATAATGGGACTTATTGTTTAAATATTGATTAGCCAGAAAGATAGGAATTATTGCCTAATCTCGGCTAACCAAGATAATGGGACTTATTGTTTAAATATTGGTTAGCCAGGAAGATAGGAATTATTGCCCAAACCTTGAGGAATGAAATGAAGAGACCTATTACTCAAAACTCCGTTAACCAGGAATAAAAGATTTATTGCCTGAGTCTAGGCTAACCAGGAATAAAAGATTTATTACCTGAGTCTTGACTAACCAGGAATAAAAGATTTATTACCTGAGTCTAGACTAACCAGGAATAAAAGATTTAATGCCCGAGTCTAGACTAACCAGGAATAAAAGATTTATTGCCTGAGTCTAGACTAACCAGGAATAAAAGATTTATTGCCTGAGTCTAGACTAACCAGGAGTAAAAGATTTATTACCTGAGTCTAGACTATCCAGGAATGAAAGATTTATTGCCTGTGTCTAGACTAACCAGGAATAAAAGATTTATTACCTGAGTCTAGACTAACCAGGAATGAAAGATTTATTGCCTGAGTCTAGACTAACCAGGAATAAAAGATTTGTTGCCTGAGTCTGGACTAACCAGAAATAAAAGATTTATTGCCCGAACTTCCCTTAAACAAGAAGATGGGGCCTATCACCCGAACTTCTATTATTATATTCGGTCTTTGGGATTAATCTCAGATTTATTCAAGGGAACACTAAATCTGGATTTATCGTTCGAAATAATTTTTCTAGCGTTCCACAGTTGATCAACTTCTTAGAGACACTATGTAGGATAACTATTCTATATCCCATTACTTCTAGATAAAGATATATTTAATTGAACTATTCTTTGTATCGGGAGAACTATGCGACACTCAGTTGCAATAGCTAATAAATTCATATTATCCATGCAAAACAGAAAAAAAAGATAGTTAGATTACTAGCGAAACTCATTAACTGTGTGGTTTCATGTAGATATTATTAAACAAATACTCCAAAAATTATTTTGATTAATTAAACATATTTTTTAACTAGCTGGAGTACCTGTCCCCTGGAAGGAAGTTACGTAAGTTCATGATTAATGAAAACTTATTTTTGGACATGAAAAGTTGCTTCCCTTATATGTAATTGTAAAAAACGAAAAAACGCCCATAAAAACTGTAAAACACATAATGTGAAACCGCAAATTTGCATGTATCTTTGTGTCAAATTTGGTGAATATCCATCAAAAGCGGGCGAAGTAGAGGTAAAAACGCCCATAAAAACCGCAAAATTCAAAATTGAAAATTTGTATGTATCTCCCCATATAACGAGTGAGCCTCTATATCAAATTTGGTGAAGATCCATCTACAGAGGGCGAAGTAGTGGTAAAAAACGCAAAAACACCATAAAATCGCAAAACGCAAAATTCAAAAATGAAAGTTTGCATGTACCCCCGCTTTGACCTATTGAACCTCCATATCAATTTTGGTGAAGATCCATCTACATCCTGCGAAGTAATTACATGACCACACTATTGTAATAGTACCACTATTATATTTATATAGAAACCCAAGAAGCTATAAGATATATTATCAAATGAAATTTATTTCTTTATAGTGTACTAGGAGTCCATTTGAACTTTGTCGCTGTCCAGGGAGGCTTTGCAAGCAAAATGAAACATCTGATTGGTATTTTGTTTCCTTCTTTGGTGGCTGATACCCCAGCACAGCAGCGCCACCTCTTTTCACCATTCATGGAAAAAGTATATTATCTTTTAAGAGAAACGGGTTATGCCCACATCCAAGGTACAAAGCCTGACACTGTAGGTGAGGAGTTTTTCAATTGTATAATACATAATATTTTGCGTCAGATAAATCATTAATTGTAATATCTTGAAATTCAGGAAACTGCTAAAAAGGAATAGAAATATATATATATATATATAATTTAAAACTATGCTTCGACATGTTGTTTTTAAACGATATATTTTTTCTATCCCATTTTAGCTGTTTTCTGAATTTTAAAATTTTGTAGAGTGTGGGATACCTCCAATACTTATATTAATTGAAATAGTTATTTTATCGTGTTAATTTCACACTCGTACAAGTTGGGAAATATTTAAATAAAACTGAAAGTGTAGGAATGGGTGCACCAAAAAGTGAGGAAACAAGGTAGGAATGGGCATGGTATAATAAAACTTCCTCTGTACAACCTCACAAGGAGGCGTGTCCAACATCTTCACCATGCCTATATCGTTAATTTTTTTCTATCCTGTTTACAATAAGACATGTGGACGAAACTTAGTTATGCTTATCATAAAATAACTAGAGGTTTCTCGGAATCGAATTGCTGGAGGCAATACACGGTAAAGTCTGTTTATACCGCACCAGAAGAATCAAATATTCACGTGGACCCATAACTTGTACGTTTTTTTTTTCTTTACAGCTTGTCCCTCCTTTTACAATTATATAAGAAAGCAACAGGATTTCGTAAGTTAACTATATAGATAGATTAAAATACAAATATAAAAGAAATACCAAGAGGTTTCTGTGTATCGACATCATATATTCGTTATTGTATATACAAAAGTAGAAGAATCACATAGATACTTTTGTATGTACCCATAAGTTGTATTATATCATAAACACAGAAAAACTTGTTCATGCACTTTTTTCACACAAGTTAACATGATATTATGCATCATTCATTCATCTGTGTTGATACCCTGTATGTATATTATCAGTGTGAGTGTGCGTTATAATATTAAGGTTTGTGCAAATAGTGGTGTATGTGTGTGTGTTGTGCATTCTATTCAGTTATGGTGTGTGTACACATTGTGAGTGTGCATGTGGGCTATACATGTGATGGCCCACACTCTACAGTGTGCTATGTCATTTGGGGGATGTAGTGTGAGTTGTGGTTGTATACATATACTAAGGGTTGATAAATTAATTAATTTAATTAATTAAGTACTTCAAGCTAGCACTATCACACGGTCCTGGTGCTACTGTTCTAATCGGTGCACATATAATCATGGTGAGTCTGTTTGTTACACAGTTAGAAGCATTCAACAATTTCAGTCAGTCAGATTGAGAAATTTGCGGTTTTGTGAATTTCTTGTATCTGCTTTGCTGACTTTCTCAAGTGGTTCTAGGACTTACAACTTTGTATGTGTTTTTTTATCATCTAAGGGGTTCTCAAATACTTTGAAGATTTATTATTTGATTTTTAATGGTGTATATGAATAAATAGTTTGTACTGCATGTATTGTTTTTCCACCCCATTCCTATTATTACGAAAATAACAGTAACAGTTATAACTTTATTGTCTGTGGTTTGTTTCCCATAATAAGTGTAATCACGTATATCGAACACGCGGTCTCCAAATATATCACTAACAAAGATGGCAGCAGTGTTTATCAAAGATAAAGCCTGAACTTGTTAAGACCCGTTTGTTAGAGTATTTTGTCTTTGTCGATTTTCCTCCTTCTCGTCAATTGATCAAGCTATCCTTTGCTTCGCCGTCTTCACTCCTCTTCCGGACATGACCTCTCGACCTTTATCAGTCTCTTACTATCGCGCACATTAACTACAGCCTCGTAGAATAAATTACGCCACTATTCTGTCTAAATCAAATATCGCTAGTAGGGGGCGAAGGAGGATTCAATAATCTTAGAACACCCCGAATGATAAATGGTTTGAATCACATTATATAAGTTAATTAGAAGAGATTCATAAAAAATAATTAAGATCATATTTAATAAAAATATTAAGAATCTTAATAGACAAATATAGTATTAAGAATTTGATACTAATTGAATTAAAATCTTCGTTAATTTAATTAAGCCATTTTTTTGAATGTATAGCGATTAAAATATAGGGCTTAGGAAAATATTAGCTGCTTACCTCTTGTGAGCTCTTTCAACATTCAAATATGCAAAATATATGACATAATTCACTGAAGTTAGTCCCTTTTATATACGGCGCTCTTCAAAACCAGTTTAAACACAGCAATGCAAGGTAAAACATGATCGCTGCAACAGGCTCGTAACCTCTTTTATTGGAAACTTCATTGCATGTACTGAACCGTGTACTGAACCAGTGTTCCAGATTTAAATATAAATATATAAACACATATGTACAACACACAAACATACGTAGAAGCACACACAATACACACACACGTTTTCTCTATCACAAAGCTGTGTAACCACGCGCACACTCGTCACACTACTTGTATCAACTGCCTGTAAGCATTGCATCATCTTACAACAATGCGCGCAGAGGCGACTGCAGGAATGAACTCTCATTGCAGGTACTTACACAAAAAGCGCTCTGATATCCAAAGTCGCAAAAAGTCGTCTGTTCGTGTTTAATCCGTGTATTGAACCAGTGCTCCAGTTTTAAATATAAATATATAAACACATATGTACAACACACAAATATACGTAGAAGCACACACAATACACGCACGTCTTCTCTATGCACACACTCGTCACACTACTTGTATCAACTGCCTGTAAGCATTGTATCGTCTTACAACAATGCGCGCAGAGGCTACTGCAGGAATGAACTCTCATTGCAGGTACTTACACAAAAAAAGCGCTCTGATATCCAAAGTCGCAAAAAAGTCGCCGAATTTTTTATTTCACTGATTTTCCTAAAACTTATATTACTGTCAGATGCAGAAATCAGATGGGACAAATTTGGACCTTTTTATTTACTTATTTTCATTTTTTCTACATAGTAAGTTTATCTACAATCTAT